TACCATGATTCTGAAGGACATTGCTGCATTAAATAGTCCACTGTGCAACATCTGAGTTAAGTGTTACTGGATACTTGTTTTAACCCTAACCCCCTAGGGGGTATGTAAAATTATATTGAAACTAGAGGATTTGGAACTGTTGGGGTTAATGCATTTGTGGCAGGCTAATACATGTAGCAAAATGCCAAATTGTGGTATCCATCCTCTCATCTTTAAAATCCAGGGGTGGGGGGGGAAGGGTCGTGGAGGATGTGCATGAGCACCCACAAGGTGCACTAACGGACCCGCATGACTCAACATAAAAAAATGCCATTGTCAGAGGCAAACACAAAGGCATCACAAACAATAACTAGCAGGCAAGCCTTTGTACATGTAAATGGCAAAAAGTATAGGAAAAATCTGAAACCAGTACTCAATGCAGGATTGGAATGACAAAAACAACCGTACATGTACATGTACACATACGAGTACACTGCACAGCAAAACTGATACCATACCATTTGATAAAGAATTTGCAATGAGGGTGATTCACAATAGTGCGCCTCCAAGAGATTGCAGTGCCTTGGCCAATCACAATGCGCAAAATCTGTCGACCCTTTCCAAATGCGCACTGGGTCGACAGATTTCACTCTTGGAGGGGCACTACTGTCAACGCCCATATTGATTTCTGTGAAAATGGACCCCACTGTTCAGTTTACACCTGTCTGACATTAAGTTGTTAAAGAAATACTCGCCCACAGTAATGGTAGCAGTGCAGTCAAGTGACATGTCCATGTCTTTCTCGAATGGATCATATTACTGTACTTTACATTGCAGCTCAACAATGTATCACTGATTTAGCAAAGAGTCTGATTTTGGGAGGATTCATCAAAAAGTTTCCAGATGAATTCTTCAGGAACACAGGGTGTACAGTAGATTAGAATGATCTACCCCACCTCTTTTTTGCTGAGCTGGGGAATGTCCTTGCATGGGTGGTCAATCCTACTGGCGAGGACATCGTCTTCCGTCTGCTCAGGTACATGTGCCTAATCGTAAAAAGAAGAAAAAAAAATTAACCACCAGAAACAAAAAAGAACTGAGCTGAGCCTAGGTCTTTCAGTCAGAATGCTGGTAAAACAGGACGTGGGTTAGATCAGAAGGGAGCTCACAGGACTTATTCGGTAAACTATTTCCCAGATTGCTTGGGAAATGACTTTGAAATTTTTGAGGCTTGTGGCTGGTTAGGAAACTGAGTGACTTTTTAAATACCACTGTCAAAATCTCCCTCCAATGGGATTTTCAGGTGATAGCAATATTGATAATTTATTGAGTATCATTCTTTACCACAGATAAAATACATGTAAATCAGGCTATTCAAATGTAACAAATGGAATACATGTACAGCTGGATTAAACCTAAAAGAGCCAGGGAGGGAATGGAATGCTCCCGCCCCCTCTCCCCCCTCGGCTGTGAGATGCTCTTATATGATTCTCTTTAAATGCAACAACATGTTGCAAAATATGTGTTGTTAAATATGTGTTTATTTTTTTTAAATATAAAATGCCAGTCTCTTTCCACTGGCCCTACGCAATTGAACAATGTGCCTTTCCATTTGTGTTGACTGCTAAAGATTCAACACTATATAAAAGATTTCAACCAATCACTGACTTTAAGAAATTTAGCAACATCAGGGAGTATAGAAACAGTGAGAAAAGTATCCCTATTTCGTACAATTTTCTGTCAATCTTTTCAGTAGTAGGCCTACATGTATTCTACTGTGTTACATTTCCTAATTCTCCCTGAAGTTCTCATTTCTATGTGCGATCTGCACACAAAAGTGTGGCTTCAGGTGGGAAGTGAAATGACTGAAAAACCACCTGCTGAAACAAGTGTACCAAAATCAAAAGGTTTCCACGTCACAGGAAGCGAACAGTTCAACTTGAAAATGAAACCAGGAAGCATCGTGCATCTGTTAATGGACAACCCACAATGACTTTTCATTACCAATTTGCATTTTTCTGAAACAGACACAACAAAAATGATGCAAGGCTATGAACAATCGATAAACTGTAGGCAAGTACATGCACACATATGGGAAGGTTGCCGATATTTTTTGTATCTTTAACAAAAAAAATTATTTAAATCACAGTCTTCTAATACTTTCATATAACAATTGGAAACACTTGGGCATAATTATCTATTCCAAAGCAAGCAAATTTTTCTGTATGTGTGTTAATTTTCTTTCATTTCTTTCTTTTATTACAAACTACGGTATAACAAATTTGGACTTAAATTAGGAAATTTAAGTCGAGTACCAAAACTTGATTAAAATCACAAACCGCATCAAATATTGTTTAAATTCAGCTGAAATGCATGCATTAATCATAGCACCTGCATGTATCCACATAGAAGGAATTAAATTCCATCAGAGATAAAGACACCAAGGGTAGAGTACCAGCTTTTAAATCACTCTAGGTTTTGACAAACTAGACTTTTCACAAGAATTGGTTTACAAGGAATTCATACCTAATAACCAATGAGTGAGAAACATGCCATCAACTACCGTACATGCATATATTTATTTTACATGCTACAATGCAGACTGTGCAAAATGCTGGTATTTTACCTTGATCTAATGTGTGCACAAAGCAGTCTCATTACAATAACTTTGTTTGTGATCCAGGTCCCTTGTGAAGAAGAGAGTAGTGACTCAGGCTTGATTAAAACTCATTATAATTCCCAACATTTTGTATACTGGTTTCATTCTCACTGCATGATGACCAACATTTCTAATACCAACAATATATACTAAGTTTGTAGAGATAAAAGGTGGATGTACGCTGATACCTAACCATATCTTAACTCAGAAGTAGACACTTCAAATCAAGTGAAATACAGGGGGATTCATCATGTACATATGATGTTTTCCATACACTCTGCCCGAATTGGTTACAATTACTAACCTGCAAACCATGGGCAGCTTTTCTGAAATGCAAGCTCTCTTGCTTTTTCGGCAACTGCGAGAAATTCTCAAAGAAGTTCCCATCAGACTCTGAGACCCTGTTGAAACAACGCCAGAAAAAAAAACACACAAGCATGTCATCCAGTCTGTCAGCATTCTGCTAGTATTCAGAAACCTCATCAGGGGACAAAAGTCAATGAATGACCCTTGCTGACCACTGGTCAACTTTCAATACAAAAACTGTACCCCCAGTATCAGGTAAAGTTGACCAGTGGTTCAAACTTATGGTTGTCGATTGAACTTGACAGTAAATTCAGTAAGGAGTAGCAACTGCAATCGATTTACCAATTCCTGTGGTTTTTTTTTTTGGTCTTGTTTTAGAACTCACAAATTGATGTTGCTGAAGCGAGTAACAACTTCCTGAGATTCACGCCTCTGTTCCTTCAGCAGGAGTGCCATGGCTGGCTTGACACGCCTGGATGCAGCACGTGTCTTGGCTTGACTCTCTACATGCTCTGCCATGTTCACTGCAAACTACCAAACTGATGGCTGGAGATGGAGGCTAACTCTTTACAGCCTTGTATCAGTAGTGGTTTGCTTTTTTTTTCTCTTTCCTGCTTTTCAATCCTGCATGACGCAGAGTAACATTTTTAAGTCTGATCAAGGATAACTCATGAACTTCCTGTTGGTATTTTTTTTGTGTAGGGTCACTCAATCCTATAGGCATCTGCAACCTCCAGTCACAATTCTCTGTAGGAAGTGGGTCCCTGCAACTTACACATGCCCGACTAAGCAGACTAAGAATCCTTACGAAATTCTGATGTGACAGTTGGCTCATGCAGAACAATGTATATAAGACCACACAATGCACAGAGACCCCACTGCTACCAACAGTCAACAAGGAAGTGTTTCACTGTGATCAATGTAGATAACGTGTAGTGTACAATGACCCATTGATTCAACTGAGTTGAGCAAGCAGCACCAGTGTGCAAACAAAGACTTGCTTACATACAGGTCAACCCACTGTGCATGAATGCTGACTGCATGTGCTTTGAACAGTTTGGACATAGTGCAGACAGACCACGATTTGCCGACTGAAGAAAATACAAAATAACATTTCTGCAGAAAAAGTGGACACTAAAATGTAGATTAGATTTTTGGGGGGATTGGTTTTCCAATCATATAGAATTCGTAGCCGACTGTATTAAATATGGTTTTCCATGGCACAAAACACTTCACACAGTTCATCCCTTGAGCATACACCGATTGCATAACCCCCTATTGTACAATGAAGGTTTAAGTTCCATCCAGAGGTGCAGTGAAAGAGAAAGGGGTGTGGTCGGCTACATTTACCAGTAGATAATACAATAGTGAAAGTGGGAGCTGTTCGCAGTCGGTACAGTCAACCTGGCTTTCCCACTCCGAGGAGGAAATGGACTCTTCCAGTAAGCTACCACCCTGTTTTGCTACATATTTGTATCCTTTTGTTATACTCTTTCTAGCTACATGTACATGTATGTACATGTACATGTATGTCCTGCTCACACACAGACTTTTATGTAACAGATGTCAATCTACATAGCCCTTTAAGGGCCTTAGTTTAGGTTCTGGTCTTAGACACAGCCTACCATTGGTGCCTGGAATTTCACTGTGGAGGGTGCAGGTCTTGCACCCATAGATTTGGAGAGGGTATGTACCAAACATGTACATCATCCATATGTGATGTTTTTAATTTGCCTCAAGCTTTCTCAACTGCGCCCTGTTTTGGGTAATTTATGTACCAGTCATTGGACCCTTTCTGTTTGCAGAGGGGATAACATCTATAATCATTCACAATGCTTGAGAGATTCCCTGTTGTGTTTGTCGGCCCACCACTGCTCTCTCACTCAACACTGTATTGTTATGTTGGGTTTCACAGCAAATAGTACATGCAAGTAAGTTTGAATGTATGAATAGAAATAAACAAAAAATGTGCACCAATGCTCACAATGTTGATACATGAAGTTGAGTGTGTGTATGTGTGTGGTGCGTTCAATTAAATGTCCATCTGCCCCTGCGGATGGGTGTTGTAGCCAGATATCCATGACGTTGTCTTCATGTTTCAAGAACAACAAAGCGGTAACTAATGTTGCACAAATCTGACGATTGACTGCCATCGGTCAGCATTACTAAGAGTCCAGCTTTGTACACGACTATGTTTGTGGCAAGTGGACATTTTAAAAAAGCCAGTATTTCCTCCCAAAACAGTATCCCAACTTGGTCAGGAATAATACCTTTCATACGCACTGACTGAATGCACTTGGAACAGTCTACAGTTGGCATAACTATGATTTACATTTCATGGAGTACCCTAAATTTGTGCATACAAATATTCGTGTATCCAACTTGAAACTCTTGAATGAAATTATGCACCAACGTTAATTTACAGTCGATGACTGATCCTTACTTTAAACATTTCTTTTTGCAGCTATGTGTGAATGAAAAGATTTTCTTGAGAGAATTCAGGAAAAATGTCTGCAGAGCGTAATGTTTTATTTTATAGACTAAATACAAGAATTAACTGGTTGAAATTGTCTAGAATATGGACGAATGATCACTGTTCAGTCACGATCGGTGTAGGATGTCCGAGACAGGTAGTGATGACGATTTCGGTCAACTTTCACTAACTATTGAGGGGTTATCAAAAATGAGGAGCTTGGAAAAGCACTGCGCACCTTGTATTTTGAGATGTCCATTGCCGACAACGGGCGCGGATTCGGATGCACTGTATTTTGTGATTTTGATGTAGAAATATACCTTAAGAGAGAAGTTTTGTCATAATTTCCAGATCAACTACTCATATTAATGCCACATGACTTATTTGCAAGAACAAAAATTAATGCCTCACTGTAACTTGAAATGAAATTGACAAAAATTAAAAACTAGAGGTGAACGAAAAAGACACAGTGATAGAAAATCGAGCTATGGCGAATAAGTGTTTTATTTCCCTCAAATTGCATTGCACCAAAGTAATTGACAGAGAAAAAATTATTCCTCATTCAAGCCACATTTTGGCAAATTTTTCAGAAATAGGGCAATTACTGATACCCAGTAAAATGACATTTGCAACGTACGTGCATGAATTTTGGGGACTTAAGTTTTACTACAACTTATCCCGCTCTTTTGCAGACACCATTGTCCCTGCTGCTTCGGTGACATTCGATGTTCTTCATATTATTTGATGCAGGATTTTAGTCAAACTTTCAACTCCTGAGAAAGTTAGTTTATTTAAGAGCAATTTTGGTCAAAGTACTCAGTGCGTGAATTATGGTGACTCATGGATACATCATTTTACATGTATTATCTTGCAGCTTACTTTGTTTTCTGAACCTGACGGTGGGAGGCAGAGACTTTGAGGATCTCTTGAATCTCCTTCTCTTCAGCTTCAGCAGTCCCCAAGTCTTCTTGACTGAGCGACGTGACCAGCATGCTGCGGTGCCAGACGCTGCCCCTGCGACGTGTCAGGCCCCGCCCGAGGCTACTTTTAACTGCTGCGCCTGACATTACTTACAGGCAAAAATTATTTACAAAAATATGGATGGTAATACTTATACGCATCTCGAAACGAATTTTTTTAATATGGATAACAGCAGTGGCTCTTGCCCCACTTACATAGATAAGTGTCACTAGAGGGGCTGAAGTGCGACCTCCCCCAACTCCTCCCCCCCCCGCTAGGAGTAGTGATGGACAGGATTACCTACATGCACTCACACTTCCTACAGTGACCGAGTACCAGCCATCAGAAAGAACGTATCCAGAAAAGTTTAAGTTAAGGAGGGAAATACCGATTCATTTTAGAAAAACACTCAGGCCTTACAATTTTTCAGACTAGTCCAAAAACTAAGGCAGGGTTTATGCACGGGGTATCAGGTGGCGTCCACAGGGGCCTAGGCCTATATCATGATATGAAACTCTTTCTTTCCGACTGCTCAGGCAACAAATGTAATGATTGAATCAAGACAAGACGTGTGTCTGCAGCATGGTAGGGGCCTACTAAAACGAAAACTAACACACAGCTGAATTGAATTCACATTCACTTTTAAATACAAATTCTTACTTTCTTCAAGTAGGCCTAATGTCCTTCCGCCATGTTCATGAAGCCTTTGGGCCTTGGCCTATGTTCCGGAAAGAACAAGTTCACGTATATGTAATACGTAGGCCGAGCGCAACAACGGACTCGTTAAAAACTGTCACTGCCAGCAAACAACGACAAAACTTACATGTACAAAAGGACGTCGGGAAATTGGGGAGTAGACTTTTTCAAGTTCTTTCTGTATTTTGGTCTAGGCCTATTCCTTTTTTATCTCATTATCACGACCAAGCATGCCAAGGACTGCGTGTGATGACCCCAAATGATAAATGTCAGAAAGCTGGTGTTTTTTTTATTATTACCTACAATCAGGATACTCACAGCCACAATCAGCTCAATGTGCACTTTTTTATTAAATGGATCGCATAATTTCATAATACACTATTTATACAAGTTTAACGCCAGAATCAACAGGCAAGAGTTCGAGTCACTGTTCAGTTTAATGGGCAGCTGGCTCTCACGACTTTCCCTTCTATCCAGCGCACCGTGTATACTGGATACCAGGCAAAAGTGACAAACTAATGGTTCAAGTTAATCCTTGTTCGAACTCCCAGCTGTGATCCAGACGTCAGTGATTTACAGATGGACAGTTACCACTTTTTATTTTATTTGTTTGTTCTTTTCCCCCCGCTCGCTTGACATTAAGCCACCAGCGTGAGTGGCCATCTTAAGGTGCCGTCTCATTTGCATTACAATTTACATACATCATGTGTGTAGCTAGCTGCCAGCTGATCTTGGCAAGTAAGTTGAAGACCCTGTAAAGTTTACTGTGCGATCACGAACACACCCACACGTAAGGAAGCCAGAAATCTGTCGACCGAGCTTATTTTATTTATTTTGCAGAGAGAATAATGAGAGCTGTGGAATTGGGGATTTCAAGAAATATGGCTCTAAACCTCTTGCTTGGCACTATTAGCCGTGAGTATAATTCGTAGAACAGAAGTTTTGCAGATTTTTTTAATCAAAACTTTTCCCAGTCAGAGAAAACATCCTTCGTTTTAGGGTGCATGGTCTGCTTTGGATGAGAATTTTCTCAAAAAGTCAAACAGTCACCTAACCAAAAATGGAAAGGAAATTGAACATGTTGAAAGATGACATGCTGATCATCATTCCTCTGAGGAGCCAGAACACTCGCTCATAATGGTGTCCATGGAGGTAAGTACCTCCATATTGGTGGCAATGGAAATTTATTAACTGGGGTGCATGTGGCTGGTGAGTCAGAAACATCCGGTTCATAAGTGACTTCATCACAAAGGAAGACGCGCCACAATTTACACGCTCCCATTGGATGATCACCGATGGTTGTGTGTTAACTTCCGGTTCCATGGTTCCAGTAAACGACGATCAATATATGTAACTCTATGTGCAGTTCACGTGCAGTGGGTGTGGTTTAAACTGAGGTGATGTCACACTTACAAACCGGATAGAAGTTATGATCTCCATGGTCAGAAAATGACCCAAACAGTGCTCCCTCTTTACTTTGAATTAATCTATTTCGGTTAAAAGGAGGAATGCGAAGGTCTTGGAACCAGCAACAGGTGAAGCTTCCGCAAGGTGTGGAGTACTTCTCTGTTCTCAAGACTCGCAATACATGTTCACCATTTACAAAATGCGACAGAATGCAGGAATTTACAGAGTGCGACAGAAACGTCTTGACTCTTTAGATCTGTGACAACAAAATAACCCTGTTATGAAACAAATTACACAAAATGCTTTATTACGTGTCACAATAAATGACGATTCAGCACTACTCATAAAGCGTACAATTTTTGCCAAGTTGATCCCCAAATAATTTTAACAAAAAAGGGCCCTCTGCTCACTTGCAGCTTTAAAATGGTAAATGTGCTGTTGACAGTATTAAATTAAGAAGACAGATATTCTCAAAGGAAAAAACACCAAATATCATATATCCTTGTTAAGATGACAACACCTAAAATATGCGCACATGTAGGTTTCAAATGCTAAACTCCAAATCCAGCACAAAATACATGCAGATCCTAGTCCGGGTTGCAAATAATGGGCACAGGTAGAAAGGTTTGCATAGCTAAGGCATCATCAGTTGACCACAAGGCGCATTTGCCAGCATCCAACTCAATGACAACAGCCCAGTGTAGAAATAAATACATGTAACACCATACAAAACCCCCCGAAAGATAAATAATTCTTTTATCGTCTCAATGGGTAAACAACAAAAGTCCCCGGAGGAAAAACACCCCAAATTTGCCTGTAAAACAAAATGTGATCTATATGGCTGCCATCCCAAATCACAGATATACGCGGCTATTGGATAATTTTCCAGGAGGCTGCTGAACAACAGAATGTGGTGCAACATGGTAGGGTTGTCTTTGATGGCGGAATTACAGTGCCATGCAAATTAACAGCTTTGCAAAGCATTGTGAAATGACGAGTAAATCAGTCCAATTTATGCATCAGAACGGTAGATGTATTGTTCAAAAAGCAAACAGTAGTTCAATACCTATGTACAGCTGAACCACCATAAACAGAGAACCGTTGATATAATATACAGTGTCCTGCTTAAAACAAGGAAAACTTAAGGACATGGTTTTTGTATTGTCTTACATTCCCGATAAAACAACGGTCTTGTTATAACAAGGTTCTTGTACTGGTTATTGGAAAGTCCAAAGGATCTTGTCCATATGAGGTTCAACTATATTAACATTTAAAAATAAACACATGCACAAAAACATTTTAATTCTCAAAGCCAACGTCATCAAACGGACACTGACACATACACGGAAACGGAAAAAAAACAATTATCATTCAAGGCACAATAAAAATGCTAACTGAACTTTAGAAAAATAATTTACTTAAAATAGGCAGCATTCCAAAGAAAGATTCAAAGTCAAGTTTTTTTGTTTCAATTTTAAATCTTGAACATTCCTGACCATCACAATATGTTTCTTATGTTCACTATTTTCCTATAGTGGGAAAATATTTCCCATTGTTTTTTCTCTTCCTCTGGAATGCTTATGAGTAAATTCAGGACTTCCTGCATTCTCAAAACAGGAAATATGGAGGAAAGTTGCTATTAAAAAGCTTAAAGGGTGATGAAGTGAAGGGTCTGGTTGACAAGTTTTTCAGAAGATGGGCTGAAAGTAGATGCTGAAATAGATCTTCATGGGCGAAACATCTGAAAAGTAGATTTTCAATGCTGACTTTAAAAGTAATAAGCTTGAACAATAGGAATTAAACTTCTCGAAGGCAAGTGCTAACAGGTAGATCACCACTTGGCACTGGAAACTAAATTTCTTTTCAGATTAATGGTTCTGTATAGTCTCTGTGGTTGAAATTCATTTCATCCAAGTTCAACTTTCTGGAGGAGTTTTTTTGCCTGAACTAAAGTCCGACACTCCAGATGTCTTTTCAGGCGATTTCTTGAAAGAAAGTTCCAAGACAACTGATCCACTTCTTCTAAGTATCACTTTTTCTGAGATGGATTGAAGTATTTTATTCCTTTTTTTTTTCATAGAAGTGTTCGTATTTTGTACAAAATATTAGCTGAAAGTATTTTAATAATGTCAATGATTTCACTCAATGCGCTCTGGGGTGCAATTTCAATTTTTTAAGGCGCTGTTCCCAACGTTTCCTTAAATGATGAAGATGTGTATCGGTGCCTTGGGTCTCTTGAGTGCTGATTTTATTACTGGGAATCTTGAGTTTTCCTCCTGAGTTGGTAGTTTGCGTGTCTGTCTTCAAGGCTGGAGAAGTTTCACCAGACTCCCTGTTGGTAGTTTGCGTATCTGTCTTCAAACCTGGTGCAGTTTCACTAGACTCCCTGTCTTGGAGATTCTCTGTTGTTTTGACGGACATCTCCTGCCGGGTCTTGTATTTCACTTCATGCTCATTCACTTCCTCCTCTTTGTCTGCCTGCCTTTTGGCTTCGTCGCCATCTCTCTTCTCAACCGTCTCTTGCTTCTGGCCACTGTCATCCTTCCTCTCTTGATGACCCTCCTCTTCGGCCTTCTTCGTTTCCTCTTTGAAATCTTCAGCTGGGTGCTTGGGCTGCTCCTCTGGCACCTTCAACACTGGGGCGTCATGCTTTTCTCTCACAAGGACCTCTTCCCCGGCAGGTACTTTGGAATCTCCCTTTTCTCCTGTCTCCTTTTCCACCTGGCCACCTTTCTTCTCTACCTGTTCCTCTTTGGACAGCTGTTCATCTTTCTCCAGCCGCACATGCTCTTCTCTGGATCCCTTCCTCTCACTGTTTTCCTCTATCGGGTTATTGGCATGCGCCATGGGAGCGTTTTCTCCGTTGCCGATGCCCACATGTTCACTCTTGTCAACATCTCCATCCAACTGTTTTTTGTCTAGTTCCCCGATGTTGCCATTGTTGTTTTGTTCCACGACTTCAGCTCTTGTGTCTGGTACTCCGTCTGCTCCGGCGGGTCCCGGAGACTCCCCCTGCAGAAGCTGTCGCTGCTGGGCCACAGCCCCCCGCAAGTTCACCGGTTGCAACTGCTCCCCAGGCATTTTCGGTTGCAAGGGTTGTTGCTGACCAGCTACGTTGAGCTGCTGGTTTTGCATGTTGAGCTGTTGCTGCTGCACCGGCAAATTGCCGCCCACCTGTTGCTGGAGGGGGACTTGCCCCTGCTGCTGAATCTGCTGCTGTTGCAGATTGGGGAGCTGCTGCTGGTTTTGTAGAATCTGTTGCTGCTGTGGCTGCGGCGGTTGCTGCACTAAATCAAGATTTTGTTGCTGCAGCTGAGGATTCAGTGGAGCTTCCCGTCGAACGATGTGAGCATCGTTGTTCACAAGTTGGTCTCCTGTGTCAATGGGTTGTACAACAGCTTGAGGTGCTAAACCACCTTGGGGTGCTAAACCACCTTGGGGTGCTAACCCACCTTGGGGTGCTAAACCACCTTGGGGTGCCAAACCACCTTGGGGTGCTAAACCACCTTGCAGAGCACCACCTGGCTGAATATCTGGTTGTCCAACTACAGGCTGTTGGAGTGCAGCTTGCCCTGCCAAGCCCTGCTGAATCACCGGTTGTCCGGCTCCGCCTGGCTGAACCATCGGTTGTCCTGCTGCGTGTTGCTGCATCCCGGGCCGAGGTGCAATGCCTTGCTGCAATCCTGGCTGCATGTCCTGCTGCTGAATGACTGGAACCTGTGGGACCATCTGGATGCAAAGGGGAGTAGTAGCAGAGTTTCAGTTTAAGGTCTTTAAGGGGAAAAGGCGGGATAACAACAAACCAATCTTTCTTGAGTGACTACTGTTGCAAGCAAAAAGAAATGACAGAATCCAAAGCGACAGGCTCAAGGACTGAGTCTGATCGAATGCTTGAAAATTTGAATATTCTACATTCAATTGATAAAATACTCTCATAGTCAGTTGTACAGAAAATCTTTAGTCAATCAAGCCTCTAGAGTAGCCACATTTGTTGCTGACAGACAAATAACTTAGGACTAAATGGTAATTGGATGCAGAACTGATCAGGCTTTAACAAGGCACTTTGGTGACAGAAACAATGTTTTTAATGTATTGCACCTGTTAATATTCCAGTCTCAAAATACATATTGGAAGGTTTGACAACACATTGAATACTAAGCCAGGCCGAGTAGGCTCTGCAAAGTCTGCTGACCTGGGTACTTTGATCAGTGAAAGGAGGATTCTTGAGAACTAGGCCCAAATACATATGTGACCTGTCACGACAAAATGGGCGTAAAGTCACATCCGCTCTTAGCTATGTTGAGGGTTCAACGTCATATTGAAGTGGAGGTCAATCGGGGGGGGGTTGAAATATTTGGAAAGAGTAACCCATTTTCTGTGTAATTCCAAATGTTTTGCAGGATGACATATTTAAAAATGTCATTTTCTCAGCAATTTTGATCACAGCGTTATTCGTGCCCAGTTGACAATGTTGAAATAATGTCAGAAACAAAGATGCAAAGCTACCAGAATGTCACATGATCACCATGTACTTCTAGCTCTTTTTCTGCTGAATTAAAAACACCAATATAACAATTTTTGAAAATTCCAACTTTCAGCTCATTTTGTGGTGACAGGTCACATATTGCTTGAAATGACATTTCTCCGCTTACAATTGAAATTCTGTGGTAGCAGCACTTGCACTGAAATATTTCACTTTGGAAGTTCGCAAGCATAGAATCCAAAGAGATCTATGTATGCATGTGTGTCAACCCTACTTCCTTGTTAACCCATGGAGTGTGCCAAATGTTAACATTGACTTTTGCCAGTAAAAAGGTGATCTTCTGAGGGAGCCTATTTTAACTAAAATAAGGAAATGGGGTCTTTAACTGAAGTCAAAAAGGTCTCACAAAATCAACCTGGTAGACTGACACAATGGTATGACACCCTATGACCTCCTCATCCATGAAACAGTGGACAGTAAAAACTACTAACATAGATGTGCGGTTACACATAGAATTAAGCAGTGTTTCCACAACAATGGGGTAAAGTTTGCATACTCGGTTCCAAGACTGTGTAAAGAAAGGAGTCCTAGCCATGTGTGTTGTGACAGTTGGAGGTGACACCGTTCAGAGGTGCAAGGGATGTTGTGGGAAATAGTTGCTGTCCTTTCAGGTACCCACCTGCTGCTGCACTGCAGGCTGTTGCTGCACTACAGGCTGCTGCACCACTACAGGTTGCTGCTGCACCACTACAGGCTGCTGCTGCACCACTACAGGCTGCTGCTGCACTATAGGTTGTTGCTGCACAACAGGCTGCTGGACAACTGGTTGTTGCTGCACTACAGGCTGCTGTTGTTGCTGCATGCCTACTTGAAGGGCGGGCGCGTTGACGTCCACCTGCCCTCCAATCGGACCGTCGCCTAACTGCACGCCCATCAGTTCATCGATGGCACCCCCAACTGGCATGCCCCCACCTATGTCAGGGGGATCCTGATGTTGGATTTTCAGTTCCTCAATGACCTCCGCTTGCGCTTCGATGATCTTTTCTTGCTGCTGTTGTCTCTCCTGCAACAAGTTGGAACAAAAGTGTTGGATTTCTGCATATCTGAACAAACCTTGCTATTAAATCGTTTCTAAGTTTTTGTGTAAGCAGGTGGCATAAAGTACAAAGCTGGATAGTTCCAACTTGAGAAATTAAACTGAAAAATCGCAGGCATCCGTTCTTGTGATTTACCTCCAGCATTTCAAGTTTCTTCTTCTGCTCCTCTTGCTGCTGCTGCTGTTCAGCAAATTTATCCTCAACAATCTTGTCCAAATTCTCCTGCAAATTGCAAATGACAACAAGACACTCCACGCTGAAATGAGCAATGACGGAATGAGGCTTTGCCCTTCGCCTGATTACGATAGTTCTCTGTTGGCACTGCTTTGAGAGAAAGAACCAATGCGAACCTGAACATCCCCCCACCCAGATAATGGCCCTTACTGGCCACAAAATCTATATAGCAATGGATGGGCTCAAAATGAGGAATTTCTGCTTACATGTCCAGACAAACTACTCCGTGATTGAGGACCTTTGACTGTCAAGAGGTAATAAAATCAGCACTTGTAAGCACAAGCTCCCAGATCATTTTAAGTCCTCAATGAGTTACTGTTTCAGGTTTGTTTCACAAGCATGCAAGAAGAGAACGTGATGCTTGTAATATGGCAAAATCTAAAATAATATGTACATCAAATCAGGCAAGTCATAACACTTGTCAATGGTATAATAATCACAATATATAATTTCACAGGTGCAACATTATTTTCAGTCAAAAAGTCAGACATTTTAAACGACATGATACTACAATCACAGTCCAAAACAAACCCAGACTTCACAATGCTAGACTTTACAAATGCTGATCCACAGACATATTCGGCTTTTCACGCCATAGCCTTGCTTTTTCAAAAATCTAAGACAATGTCGAAGAGCGATATTTGCTAAAATGCCCAGCCTTGGCCACTTGAGGGCTCTACACATGCTCAACCCTAATGGATTAGTTCGATCCTCTGTGTGTGTACAAACTCACTGGGAATCACTCAAATGTGGCAACAAGTGTCGCTGTCACACGATGCTCCACACAGAATTAGCCAAAGCATGTTTGAACATTTTCCGTATGTAGTTGATCGACTACCTATGTAGTTGATCAAGTGTCAAGAAATCATGCATGCAGTATTTTGAAGATATGAGCCGTAAGCTCACCTCCTTGGCTTTCAGCTGCTGTTCCTTCTTCTCTAGCTCCTTCCGTTTCTCCTCATTCTCCTTCTCATCTTTGTCATCTTTGACTTCTTTCTTCCCACCTGATATAAGACAGAAAGACATAAGACCATGTTTTTCAACCACTCTAACATTCCATGGTTCATTCTTATCTGTATCTACATAACCATACAAATTCATACAATTCAATAAATTACCATACAAACCAGTCAGAGACTGGTCTCAGTAACAGACTGGTTCTGAAGAGATCTTTCCACATAATGGCCCATCCGTGTAATAATATCTTAACTCTGTTCATCTTTTCACTTCTTTCAAAAACGTTCTCCTGTGTTAATTTTCCTCTCTTAGTAGCTCTCCTGTGTTTCAAACTCATGCCTTTTCACCCTTCAACTCTTGCTCTCACAAATCCATCGATTAACTTTTGCATCTGTCTTTTCGGAATGCCCCACATTTACTGAATGGGCATCACAGCAATGCTCCATGGCCACACTCTTCATAGAACATCAAGGTGAAAAAAACTCAAACCATCTATAAAAATCGCAAGGGAATCTGCTAGGGCCCTCTGTGAGGACTGCCTGATCTGCATGAAACTGCTGCACTTTCACACGGGCGTGTGCACTATCAATGGCCATATTGTTGAAATTTCTGGTGGGAGTTCTTTCTTGAATACTGCACTAAGATTATGCAGCTTACCGTCAACGTCATCCTTGTGACGAGCCGGTTCCTTCTTTTCCCCTTCGGGACCGTCGGCCTTGCCCTCTTCCTTCTTGTCCTCTTTGCTATCCTTGTCTGGTTTTTCCTGAAGCTGGTCTCTCTTGTCCACAATCCCCACATCTTCCTTTTTGTCTGCCGCATTCTGCAAAATGTGGAGTCGCTTACAAATACTTCACTTTTTGAAAACAAAGTCAACACATCGAAGTTAGAGTGCTTCATACTCCAGGCTTTTATACTAAACTCAACAAAGCGTAAATCTAACCCCAAAGATTACTGTGGACTGTCGTTGGTTGAAGTTCAAACGCAAAGACTGGCTCCATGTTGTTTTCTTAATAATCTAACTCAAAATTAATTGGAAAGAAAAAAAAAGATGGCCAGTCAGGGTTCCATCGAGGATTTCCAAAGCAGCCTGTCCTTCCGACAACGCAGCTCAAAGTGCCTGTCCTTTGCGACCCACAAATCACATGCACACAATGTGATGGAATAGAAGTGTGGTTCCCAGACCCGCAAACAGCAATAAAGTAGCCTGTTTGACAGGTAGGGTATCTGTCTAATATGTCGATATCCGCAGTGCTGTGTACAAACACGTAAGGTTAGTTGCATGATCATAATTTGCATGTGGTATATGTGTATATGTACCCGTACAGTGTCTGTTTAAAGTGCACTCATGCAAGCAATTCGGAGCGGAGCATGGCTGGCTGGCTGGCTGGCCAGTTGGTTTATGAGGTACTTTTGTGCTTTGATTCTAAACAAAAACACAATTTAGTCGCTTCAAGTGCATAAAAATTTGTCCTCCAAGATCCACCTGCTATTTTCATCGTCCATTTTGCAAAATTCTACCTGAGCCCCTGAGCCATTATCTGGATCTGACTAAATCCTACTGTTTGAAAGTTACAAGTGACTTCTGTGACCTACCTCTTTGGAATCTGGGGCCTGTGGTTGGGGCGGCTCTTGTCGTTTGTCAACCATGTCTTGCATGTCTGCAAATCAGGAATGACACAATAAACATGCAATGGCGGCTGCCAAGGCTCAGTGTTTTCCCTGAAACAGGGAGCTTGACATACAGTCGAACCTCGTTAATAATAGCACTGTTGATACAAGATTCTGCTTACAGCAAGGAAATCCTTTGTTTTTCTTTATTCATTTCTGATAATACAAGGTTCCTGTTATATCAAGGTAATTTGCGAAGTCCAAAGGATGTCTTATTAACGAAATTTGACTGTATATTCTTGTTAACAGCTGTGCTAAACCAGAACCTTTGAAACAAGAAAAAATATGACAGAGTTACTAGTACACAATTAGTACACAAAAAAACAGTTAAAAATGCACGATTTTGTACATGTACAAGACAAACACTGCAGAGGCCAAATCCTTTTCAAATTTTGAGGGGAAGAAAAAAATCCCCCAGATTGTTGTTCTCACCATCTTGGCTTGTGAATTATAAACTGGTTTACAGCATAGTGCATTGGCAACTGGTAACAAAAGTAACTGCTGAAAATGTGACCAGCTCCTCCCATCAACTGAGGAAGAGTGATGCTGTTGGAGCTCAACAGGAGGTGTCTGTGGCTAGAGTAAAGAGTGTTTGGCATCAAGACTGCTTAACCCCTTCGCACTGGGAACTGTTGACAGCTGTGGCTTTATGTGAGGATTAGTGCATACCACACATACATTCTATTCACCATGCAGCTGCGGTTTCAATGGGGCCTGCTGCTGGACAGAGCTTTGCATACTGGGTATACCGCAGCCCAGCAGTTGCGGTCAAAAGAATCCTGACGTTAAGGGGTTAATCAGCTAAACACAAAAATGACGCTGTGAGAGTGGCAAACTCTGTGCTTCTGGAGGGCAAACCCCATCCTCACAACACACGTCTCACAGGGCTTTCCTTTACCTTTCTTCTCTTCTTGCTTGGCATCGCCTCCTCCCTCGTCAGGCTTCTCCTTCAACTCCCCCTCCTTCTTGTCCGCTGCAACCGGATTGGCTGCTTTGTCTCCTTCTTTGATGACATCACCACCTGAGATGGTTTTGAAACTCAAAATGTGATCTGTTCTCATAGAGCTTAAACAAGTGTCTACACAACAATTTCCGGACTGCGGTTTTCCTAAGCACACCAGTACTCAAATGCCAGTGAAGGAAATTCTTCTTTGTTCCAGCTCAACAGAACATCTCTGGAGAGGAAAAAAGCTGATCTATGAATAAATGCTTATGTAGCATGCAGAATTTTCTTGAAATTACTCTGTGAAGTAATAATTTTTCTTGATGGTCAAATGTTTGAAGAGAAAAATGATGAAAACTGCACTTCAAACAGCCATCAAAAGTACATTGAACAGTTCTACCAAAACACGACTCCACTAACTCTTTGTGAGACAAAAGGTATTGCTCAAAGGGGCATGCATAGCAATTTCAATGCATAACAAGATTATTTTTTTATTCACATATCCCCAGTCCAAGTAGACTCGCCATGGCAAACACTTGCATCACTTCACATGACTTCTTATACATTTTTAGGATTAACTTTATTTCCTTCTTGTTTAGTTGTAATTCTACCTTGAAATCGTATGCTATGTTTAGTCCTACCCATTTAACAATGGGTAAATCACTCATCACAAAAGATTACATTTGCCTGAAATTTAAGGCATACAGGAAAAAATTTGTCACTCATGTATGGTGTATTATCGAACTTTATAACAAAGCCCGAAATCAAGCTACGGCATTTTTTTTCCAACCTCAATGTGACTCAATCTTACCCGCGTCTCCTTTCTCATTCACATCAGGATTCACTGGCACTTTGTCTGGTACCACGGGCACCTTGTCAGGCACATGGCCGACTGCATGCGCCGGCACCTCCAGCTCAGGAGTCGTCGTCGTGCTAAGGTTGTCATAGGTACTGCACACCAACAGCAGCACCCCGAGTACTAAAATGACCTATTGTTTGATTAACAAGACGAGTGGGGAGAGAATCAGGGAAATGGACACTGAAATCACAGGTTTCTTCATGTCATCAACAGATTTTCAGTGGCAAATCAGCTTGCCGTAATGTGCATATCTTAAAATTCACGTAGTGGGTATGGTTACAACAGCTATAATGAGACTTCCATATTTGATAGTTATGGCATTGTACATTACGCATTGCCAATTTACGTGTTTATAAGATTTGGAGTTCCACAAATGCTGTCTAGGTGCTGCAGTGCCATAGTAATACACAAACTGCTTGTCATTCATACAGGTTTGAGCCCTGCATCAGTCTTAATTGAGCACTTTTTTGCTGTTCTATCTTTTGTTTAATTTGTCCATCAAATCCTGTATTTACTTTCAATAGATTTTTTTGGATTTTCTACTTTATTTTATATTCATTTAAAAATCTTGTTAAAGGAAATAAAGTCAAAGATTCATTTATTACAGACTGGTCTCATT